CGTTAGAGGGAAATTTAAAAAAAAGGATATACATGTGAATCGGAAGTTTAGATTATAATAGATTATCGATGCAATACTCAGGGTGTTGTGGTTCTATTCTTGGTTGTCGGGTGAAAACTTTGGGAGGTTGTATTGAATTAATGAAAACCGCATATGGAACCGTGCAAGGAGCGCGACAATGGTGGAAAAAGTTTGTGTCGATCTTGAAAGATATTGGATTCAAAGGTGGAGATGCAGATCCTTGTTTGATGCATTGGAACAGTGAACATGGGATTGTTTTCATTGGCTTATATGTTGACGACTGTCTTTGCATTGGAAAACCTGAAGCATTGGAGCTAGTTGAGGCAAAACTGAAGGAGAAAGGACTCACTCTGAAAACCAAAAAGACCCTGAAAGATTATTTGAGCTGCGACGTCAGCTTCAACGAAGATCGCACGAAAGCAGTATTACGTCAACCACACTTGTTGAAGACATTGGAAGAGGATTTTGGAGAAATGGTACAAAACATGCCTAAATACAAGACACCTGGAACGCCAGGACAAGGTCTCGTTAGCAGTGAAGAAGGTGTAACCGTCACACCTGAAGAACAGAAGCAATTTCGAAGTGGAACCGGAAAGTTGCTCTATCTTGTGAAGCATACAAGACCTGATATCGCAAATGCAGTGAGAGAACTATCAAAGGTACTTGATTCGACAACCCTGAGAGCAATGAAAGAGATGAAGAGGATCATCAAGCATGTATTGGATACGAAAGGACTTGGATTGAAAATTGAACCAGTGATTGGATCTAAAGGTTTACTATGGAACGTCGTTGCGTTTTCTGACAGTGATTATGCAGGAGACCCAGATTCGAGAAAATCAGTGAGTGGTTTTATTGTTTATCTATGTGGAGTTCCAATCTGTTGGAGAAGCAAAGCGCAACGAACAGTGACTTTGAGCAGCGCAGAAGCAGAGTGGATTGCCTTGAGTGAAGTGGCAAAAGAAGTATTATTTATTGCGCAGATCCTGGAAACCATGGGAGTGAAAGTCGAATATCCGATTGTTATTCGAGTTGATAATACCGCGGCAATTTTCATGGCGACAAATGTCACAACGAACCAGAGAACACGACACGTGGACATTTGCACAAAATTCGTAACACAATACACTGGACCGGATGGTATTTTGAAGATTCTATTTGTGAAAGGAACTGATAATGAATCCGACATCATGACAAAGAATGTAACTGGAAACCTACATGAGAAACACATCCCAAAGATGATGACAAATATCGACGAAGGAACTACAAAATAGGAAGGGTGTTGAAGATGTATTTTGAGATATTTGGAGATTGGAGAATGCGGAGCAGAAACACGAAACGAGGCATTAGACAATGGGTCATCTTGTGTAAGATTGAACAGTGCCTGACAATAATGTGAGAAGTATTGACAAGATCAAAGCAAGATCAATACATAAGGAGAAGTGAGTTGAATGTAGTCATGGCAAGATACCAGATGCTGTGCATGACTGAGAAGCAAGACTAGAAAATAGAGTAAGGAATAATTTAGCTCACAATTGCAAGACCAATAGATTTTTACTTCTAGGGAGATTCCAACATGGATTGTGGTCTTTGGAATCAAGAAATCGGTTCTGCCAAGTCCCAGCTCTTCCATTACAGCATCATGTATCTTTCCATAAGCACCTTTAGTCAGCCGCTTTGGCTTAGCAGAAGCCATAGCATTTGAATAGCGCTCTGTAAGCACAATATTTGCCAAATCTTTTTTCTTTGCCACATCCTTGTTGGCTTGTTTGGTTGATCCCTTTGGGCGGCCCACTTGCTTCTTGCGCTCCTCCTCCTGTTGCTGTGCCACTATAACAGCTTTCACGCTCTGGCTTGGAGATTAATGAGCGTCCTGGCCATTTCTTCAACAATTGGTCTTCTGATCCGCTTGGTCTCTACATCTGACCCCTCTGGAGCTACTTGCGTACGCCTCTTGTTTGACTTCCCCATCGTTTCTTTCTATTTTATTGGTGAAAGATTTGAAGAAGAATGGGCTAAATCAGTGTCTTTTTTATTGTACTATTCTACGTATGCTACATGATGAACGAAATTGAAAGACTACGCCGTTTTCTGGCGCGGCCTCAGAGCGCCCAAATAAAAAATATGCAATTTTTTATCTACAGACCGTTCTACCAGAACTCAATGGGGAAACTAGCCAATCAGCATGTAGACTCCTTAAATAACAAGCTTCCTGGGATACCCAATTAATGCAGAGCTTGCGGCGCTATTCATCGACGTGTGTGACCGTTCCCTATTTGAAAAACTGTCGGCTCGAGCTGAAGTTGCTGCGATGCAAAAGTCCATTGGCACATGCCATTCAGAAGGTGGCGTCACACTACTGGATCGTCCACATACCGATGACCCAGATCGCCCACCGGATATCAGCATTGGAAGCTTGAGTACGGAACAGTTGATGGAACATATGTTGGAACATGAGTTATGTGGTGAGATTGATCTAGACGAAGTGATGGCTTCTGCAGCCTATGCCAGACCAACGCAAGGTGTTGCAGCGGCTCACTTGTCCAAAATTTGGAAAATCGATCTGCCTACTGCCGAGAGAACGTTGAATGCCACTACCCAGTTACTACACCAATCGGAGGACCCCTCAATGGCGCGTAACTTTGGGACCAACGACCGGATGCTTTGATACAGACGACTCACCCAATACTTCTTCATGGAAGCGTTTTTTGCCACAAAGAAAGGAGGGAAGTCTGCTCGAGGAAATACTTGTTGCCAACTCTTTGTCACTGACAAAGGATTTGTATATGTGGTACCTATGCGTACCAAGAAAGATGTCACCCTGGCCGTCAAGCAATTTGCAAAAGAGATTGGAGTCCCCGATGCAATTGTCTGTGACGCGGCAGGTGAGCAGACGTCTATTGAACTCAGAAGATTCCTAAATAGCATTGGGACCACTATCCGGGTCCTCGAACAAGGAACCCCGTGGGCCAATCGAGCTGAACTGTATGTAGGATTAATGAAAGAGGCAGTCCGTCGTGACATGAGGGACTCCAACTGCCCCTTCGTCTTCTGGGATTATTGTGTTGAGCGAAGAGCTCGTGTCAACAACTTGACTGCAAAAGATTCGTTTCAATTGCGCGGTCAAACCCCCCAAACCGAAGTAACCGGAGATCCAGGCGACATTTCGAATTTGTGTCGTTTTGGCTGGTACGAGTGGTGCTATGCCATGAATAAGAACATTGCTTTTCCACACAACAAGGAAATCCTTGGGAGAGTTCTTGGCCCAGCAACCGGTATGGGGAATGAGATGTGTCAGTGGGTATTGCAAGGTATTGCAAGGTAACGGAACAGTCATCTCCCGTCGCACCGTCCGCCCACTGAAGACTGAAGGAATCCATTCGCCTGAAGAAGAACAAAAGAGACAACTCTATGATAGCTTGATTGAAAAGAAGCATGGCCCTAGCTTCATCAAACTTGAGAAGGATCTTAATTCTGAGGAGGATGGTACCACCACGAATGCTCATATGTCAAATGGAGTTGCTTCAGAGGAGGAAGAGGATCATTGGGAACTGTACAAAGATGATGAACAGTTTGCCCGGCCGATGCCTGATGTTGAGGATCAACTTGACATTCATGGTCATTTGATCAACCAACAGTCGGCATATGACCTTTTGCTGAATCTGGAAATCCGTAATGAATCTGGTGAACATGGAAAGGTTGTCTAACGAATTGTTAGTCCTGATGGCCGCCAAATGGGCTCGTACGATGAAAATCCTGCATTGAATACCATTATGTACGAAGTCGAGTTCAATGATGGTGCTATCAAGGAATATGGCGCGACAACTATTGCCGAAAACATTCTAACCCAAGTCGATGACGATGGATTCTCTAGCCCAATGCTCAAAGCAATCGTGGACTGGAGGAAAGATCCGAAGACAGCTGTGAGAAAGAAGGACCAGTATGTCCAATCTCATAGTGGCAGACGTCAACGTAAGACCACAAAGGGTTGGGAGCTCAAGATTCTCTGGAGTGATGACAGCCACAGTTGGATTGATTTGAAGTATATGAAAGAATCGAACCCTGTAGATGTGGCCGAGTTTGCAGTTGCAAAGAAGATTGATGACGAACCTGCCTTCAAATGGTGGGTACCGTACACTATTCGCAAGCGAGATGTCATTACTGTACGATATACAGTATGCCAAACACCACAACTGCTTGATTGTACAACAATGGATGCACAGTACGATTGTATTTGTGGTGATGAGGAAAGCTGCAGGATGATTTGGATCTTATTGTAGGTTTTGTACAGTACGAGTACTGCACGAGTAGAGTACGTGTACCAAGCTGCCGTAGAAATGAACGAATGGCTGTGGTGGACATGGAGTTGATTTGTTCGATTAAAACCATCACTTCTCACATTATTGATATTGTTTGTCAACTCAATAGGAACATCCAATGGTTGGACTGCAACTGCAGCTGCAGCTGCAACTGCAATTCTTTCTTCCATTAATATTTCTAGTGGAATGCATCACAATTCCAATTGCCGATGCATTTGTGACATTACAACATCAACATGGAAATAAAAAGAATCGAATAAGCCATCATCAGTCGCTGAGTTGGAAAAACAAGTGCTGGCGTCGCTCTTCACTTGTTCAAGAGTCTCAGTCGTCCACCTCAATATCATCATTAGCATCATCATCAGCATCAGCATCATCAGCATCAGCATCATCTCCAATAACCTCCAGCTTTGAACAAATACTCTTTGATCACTTGGGACGAAATGAGCAAGAAAGACCAGACACAAGTACGGTGCTGAATTACCAACTAGTGTGGCACATGCAAAGAGACTTGATGCTCAAAATGGAAACAACCTGTGGATCACAGCGTTGCAATTGGAAATGACGCAGCTTGGTGTTGCGATTGAGTTACAAGACAATGGGATTCAAGCTCCCCCAGGATGGTCCGAAGTATCGGGACACCTGGTCTGGGATGTGAAGATTGACTTCACCCGGAAGGCTAGATGGGTCCTAGACGGACACAAGACGCCTGATCCAACTTGTTCTCAATATGCTGGAGTGGTGTCGAGAGAGAGTGTGCGCATTGCGTTCACCTACGCTGCATTGAATGATCTCGAAGTATGCGTGGCGGACATTAGAAATGCATACCTCCAAGCCCCGTCATCACAGAAGGATTATATCGTTTGTGGCCCAGAGTTTGGATTGGAAAACGTTGGCAAGGTTGCTCTTATTCATTGTGCAATTTATGGCGGCAAAACTGCTGGACGTGATTTCAGAAATCATCTACGTGCTTGTATGCGACACCTGGGATTCGAGTCTTGCCCGGCCGACCCGTATGTTTGGATGAGGCCTGCTATTAAAGCCGATGGACAAGAATATTGGGAATACATACTGCTGTACACCGATGACTGCCTCTGTGTATCTGAACATCCAGAACGAACGCTAAGAAACCAAGTTGGGATATATTTTCTGTTGAAAGATAAGAGCATTGGTCCACCAAAGATCTATCTTGGCGGTAATGTGCGACAGGTGACGCTTGATCACGGTGCCAAAGCTTGGGCATTTGGATCATCATCTTACGTACAACAAGCCGTCAAGAATGTTGAGAAGTACCTGAATGATTGTCACACTGCTGGTGACAAGAGATTCAAAATACCTGCAAGCGCGAGGACACCAATGCGGACTAGTTATCGAGCCGAGTTGGACACGAGTCCGGAGCTGGAGCCAAAAGATTCTTCGTACTACATGTCCTTGATTGGCGTTTTGAGATCGATCGTGGAACTCGGTCGAGTTGACATCTGCTTGGAATGCAGTATTTAATCGTCACAGCTGGCGATGCCGCGATTTGGTCATCTTGAACAGGTCTTGAATATATTCGGTTACTTAAAGAAGCACCACAATGCTGAGTTGGTGTTTGACCCCAATTATCCTGAGATTGACAAAGCTGCTTTTGCCAGAAAGGATTGGTCAACGAGCGAGTTTGGTCACTTGGAAGGCAAAGAAATGTTGCCCCCAAAAGCACCGAAGCCCAGAGGTCGCGGCTTTATCACGCGAGCAAAAGTGGATGCAGATCATGCAGCCAATATTGTGACACGTCGATCGAGGTCGGGATTCTGTGTCTATATTAACTGTGCGCCTGTCTATTGGTTCTCTAAGAAACAAACCTCTGTTGAGACAAGTAGTTTCGGAAGTGAGTTCTGTGCAATGAAGCTATGTTGCGAGTATCTAAGAGGCTTGAGATACAAGTTGCGGATGATGGGTATACCAGTTGAAGGTCCTGTTTTCATCTATGGAGACAACCAGTCAGTCTTGGCAAACACTACCATTCCGGAATCTCAATTGAAGAAAAAGTCGCAAAGCATCGCATATCACTTTATCCGTGAGGGAGTTGCCAGAGTTGAGTGGAGAACTGCGTACGTTAACACTCATGACAATGAATCTGATCTGTTCATAAAGTTGCTGCCTTCTGGCCCAAAGCGGGAAGGCTTTGTACGCCGATTCCTGCATCATATCTTCAGAAGTAAAGGCTGACAGTCAATGTCAAAGACTGAGAGCCAACATGAAAGTCAATGTCAAAGACTGAGCGGCACTGTGACATTTTGCATTCTTGAGTGGATTGATCGATGGAAGTCCCCCCATTTTTCTTTTTATACTGGACGAGGAGTAGAATGCCCCATATCAAACCTACCAGAAGAGATGGTACTACCAATTGTTACATGTCAGTGGCTGAATAACACCTGCTTTACCCCGTCGTTTGTTGATATCCAAAATGGATTAAGCAATGCAAGTCGTCCGCCTTCAAGGTAATGCGAACAACTTGAGAGGAGTGTTTTGATGTCAGGCATGTCGTAGATGTCGCATGATGAGTCAGAGAAACAAGCAGATGTCCAGCTTGTTCTCTGTCATGCACGGCCAATAAGTAATGTATATATTGGCGAGGAACAAGTTCGACACGCGAACACGTTCACGATCCGTTTGGATAAACATGCAATTATCCACATCACAATTCAAAGGAATCCGACAACAATTCACAACAACAACGTAATACGATAGTGACTGTTACCATCTTCACCTTACACACATATTCAATTCAGATTACACCGTTTTTACGAACGACAGTTGCTAAAACGAACAACAACACGTTTTGCACGTACTACCGATTGTGCGGGGGTTAGGGTTACGGATAAAAACAGCAGTTTGAGGGCGCTCCACCTTCAACCTTTACTTTGAACTTCGATCGTCCAAGGCTGTGTGCTCAAGAGACTGTACAGTATAGAGCACGCATCAATTCCATCCATCCATCCATCCATCCATTCTATACATTATTCTCCGTCATATCATAATGGCAAAACAGCAACATCTGATGCGGCAAATATACGCAGCAGCAGCAGCAGTCGATCTGTCAAAGACATTGCAGCCTACCTTGAAAACACAATACCAAAAGAAGCGTGGAACGAGTATCAACGGCCTTGCACTAAGATACTATTCAAAACATTGGCGACCGATGTCAAAGAGATGTGGGACAAAGCTTATTCACCTCATGATTTTCGAATGTTTTTCAGGTGGAATATCAACAGGGATCAATTGAAAGCTACGGTTGACGACTTGGTGAAGTTTTTGGAACAAGGCGGCAAGAAGCCTGGTACAAATGTGTATCAACAGGAGCGGCAATTCGTTGGCATATCTCACAAAGTGATTGACACAGCGTTGACGCACGATTTTGATATGCTCGAACTACACGAAAAAATCTGTTTTGTATTTTTGACATTTTACAAGGAAGGCAATGAAGGCGAGTACTATGGACCCTGTATTTGCTTTGTGCAATCGAGTGGAACGGGGAAGACAAAGATTCTCTACAAATTGTGCAAGCATTACAAGATGAATGAAGAAGGGACATCTAAGAGTGGTAAAGGGAAATCTAAGAGTGGTACCAATATTGTGGGTCGGCTCATTCTCTGCCGCAATGCAAAAGGGGAAAGCGATGAAAATAAAAAGGAGAAGGACCTGTTTGACGCATTCATTGATCTCCGAAACGGCATAGACAGCAATCAATCCTTTCAACAAGTAGTTGACGGCGTATTTAAAAAGCTGGACGACATGATTGCCTTGTTCAATATTGCTGATGAGCCGACGGTATTGGTTTTGTTTTTTGACAAAGCACACTACCTGCTTGATGAGGGCAATTATACAAAGGAAAAGGAAAAGGAAAAGGAAAAGGGAAATGGAAAGGGAAAGGGAAAGGAAACAAAAACGACAACAATGGACGCAATGCTCTTTTGTATCGTTTGCCTATGGATTCGCAAGAAGCGGGGGAATTTGCAAATTGTTGCTGTATTCACCGGGACTACTGCAAAATTAACCAACTTCATCACTGACGATGACATTACAAACAAGACGGACACCAATACTTGTGAGTACACGTCACCCAAACTTGAATTCTACATGAGGGGTGAGAAAACGTCCTACACACCATTTTACACTACCACTACAATTGGGTGCCTCCGATTTGTCAAAATGGATGATTCATCATCAAATAAGAGCGGATACAGCGTCGCCGTTCCTTGCGGGCGGCCTCTTTTTGCTGCCATGTCCGAACAAGAACTCAAAGCTGGCGAGTCAATCATTGTTCAACGTATTGTTCAAGATGCTTCACCAAGCTCATTCAAAAATACAGCAACAACCTGGCTCAGTGTGTTGGGCACACGAGTGCAGATGAGACAAACGACATTTGATGCAGCTTCTGGTCTTGTGGGCCGTTCTTACGCCAACCTTGTTTCGGTTAGCCCTGCTACAGTCAACGGCAATGACAAGCAAACTGCCAAAATTTGTTTCCCACCAGATCCTGTTTGTGCGCGGTTGGCAATGTGTCTCATGGATGATAGTTGGTCCATGGCTCTTTCAAAAGACACGACTCTGAATGGAAGACCAAAAGTATGGTGGGTACAGACGATGAAGGACCTATTTTCAGACCATTTTTGTTCACCGGAAAAGGGAGACTCTGGGGAAGTCATGGTGGCTTTGTATTTTTTGTTATGTGCGGATATTGTCCAAGGTAGTTTGAAGGACAATAAGGACTACACTACTTTCTCAATGATTGGATCAATTGTCTAATCAATGGAGGTCGTCGCAGTGGTGATGATGGTGACGACGGTGACGACATGATGACTCAAAATAACGATTGCCAGGTCCATTTCAGTGCAATCCAAGTCTGTTGTAATTATGCCCGTGCGTATGATGACTCGTGGTCTTTAGTTCAGAATGAAGTGTTCTTGGAAAACATGTACAAAACGGGTGTGGGATTTTATGTGTTTGCAGGTTGCAGTGTCATTGATGTTGTATTTGCATTGCAAATATCAGTGGCAGCACCAAGAAAAGGCGGCGTCACCGCCACTAGCTCATCCTCATCAAAAAGGTACCAATACGTTCCGATGTTTGTGTCCATCAAGTTGCAATCCAGTTTCTGTCCAAAATCTGCAAGCATCCAATGTGACAAGATGAAAGCAAAACTTGAAGCGGTGAAAGGTGGTAGCGAGCTTGGTGCCCTTTGCCTCTTGGTGGTGTTTGGTTCATCACTTGAAGCGGTGAAAGGTGGTAGCGAGCTTGGTGCCCTTTGCCTCTTGGTGGTGTTTGGTTCATCTGTCAAGTCAAAAGATGGAGACTATACTTTGAAACCAGATTGCGTCAAGAATCTTGAAGAGGGAATGGCAGTATCCAAAGTGCTGCGGATACCAACCAATGACGAATTTGGATTGACAGAAGCATTCTGGGAGTTGACAGGAGTTCACGATGAAATGTCAGAAGTTCTTGCTTCTCACAGCTTTTTGGGTGCCCATCGAGAAGCTGATAGCGAGACCACCACGAATAACTTTACAGGGCAAGTCTTGCGACTCCGCCCAAAATTAAAGACAAAAAAAGCAGCAGAAACGCAAGGCATTGTAAGGAAAACAGATGAAGTGACTGGCTATTTGGACAAGTTGCTTGCAGGTCTAGATGACATCGTTAGAGGACAACCATCAGATGGAGAGAAAGAGAAGCAAAAGAAACGAAAGGCAAATAAAGAAAAGACAAACAAAATACAACAGCCTCGCATCTGATATTGAGGAGAAATGCACTATTGTTGGAGCTTACCATTGTTCCAGATATTTCTGTGCACATTCACATTAAAATTGATTCATGAATGTGCCACAAAACAGTAATAACCACATGACGCTATATAGGTATGATGCATTATGAATAAATCTTGTTTGATAGTTGTGGAATGTTTGTCGGATTGGGCCAATTTTTGTTCTTCATTGTCGGAGTTTGGTAATAATACTTGCTACTAGTGTGGAAAATTGCAGGGGAGGGATTGGTCAAATTGATAAAACTATGGGCAGTCCAAAATTGCATATATAACTGATGCATTAATCGTATGAAAACTATCTCAAGTTTCTAGATTGCCGTTAACGGCTGTCATGGCCATTTACCATACGGAGGCGAGTCCAGTACTATTGAACCAGTTTGAGGCATCCAATCCCAGGGAAGTTGCTCTATCGCTTATTACATTGCACCCTTGCACATGTAGAGACGAACTTGCCACTCAGGGCATATTTTTATTTGGTTTTTGTGTTTTTTGAAGGTGGTGGTGGGCAGGGTTGTGTAGCAGGTGAGAAGCCACTTGTTCTTGCGCCCTACTGCCGTGGGTGTATCGATCCAAGTGAATGGAGAGCGTTCCAGAACAATGTGGCCACCATCTACACGAAAGACTGCAGGTCTCTAGTCCTGTGATCGACAGAGGGAGAGTGAAACATAGAAGGGGCAGATAGATGACCAAGACATCTGTCTGTTTATGGACTTGCGCCGGGTGGCCAAGTCGATGTTGGGTTGGGGGGGGTCTCGCCAGGTCAACAATCATCTGGCGTTGCCTGGCTAGAGAGCGACGGTTGATCGCTCTCTCACGGGAGACAAGGCGCATCCAATGTTCACGATCTTTGAGTGATTTGTTGAGGACAGTTTTGCGGGAGTCCTGAAAGAGGTACTGCAAGCATGGGGGGATATCCATCAGGCCCATGGCGATTTGTTCGCGGATGCCAATGTCAATCTCCCACTTGCGAGCTGTGTGCCAGGAGCTGTCTTCAGAGTGGGCAAGCCGGTTGCGGTCTTTCCACATGTAATGCCTGATCCGGATCACGTGTCGAAAACCTCGTACTTGAATAGTTTCTTTTGGAACGTAAAAACTCATATTTCGTCATATCCCAACACACTCCTGCCATTGTGACAATCACCATTGGCAGCAATGGGACATGCTCTCATTC